TTTGCAAATCATATCTCAGAAGGGTTCACTATTAGAGTTCATAAAGAACTCTTAAGACTTCAACAACAAAAAGACAAGCAATTCAATGTAAAAAATGGGCAAAGGACTTGAATCAGCATTTCTCCAAAGAAGATAGAGAAATGGCCAATAAGCACATTAAAAGGTGCTCAACACTGCTTGTTTTAGGGAAATGCAAATCAAAACAATAAGATACCACTTCACATCTGCTAAGAGAGTTAGTATTAAATTAAAGTAGGAAATAAGTGTTGGTAAGGATTGGTAAGGAAATAAGTTGGTAAAGTAACTGGAAGTCTTCTAAATTGCTGGTGGGAATAGTTTGGTAATCCTTAACAAGTTAAACTTAAAATGACAGTATGACCCATATCTAGTTATGTACCCAAAAGAGTTGAAAACAGGTATTCAAATATTTGTACACAAATGTGCATAGCAGCAGCATACACAATTGGCAAAGGTGAAAATAAAGTCCATCAAAGGATAACTGAATAAACAAAATGTGATATAGTCACGAAATTGAGTATTGTTCAGCCATAAAAAAGAATGAAGTACTGACACAAACTACAACATGGATGAACCTTGAAATTATGCTAAGTGAAAGAAGCCAGACACAGAAGCTCATATTTTGTATAATTCCATTTATGGGATATATGCAGAATAGGTAAATCCATAGAGACAGAAAGCAGATCAGTAGTTGTAGGGATTGGGGGTGTGGGTAAATGGGGACTGACTGCTTAATGGGTACATGGTTTCCTTTTGAGGTGATGAAAATATTTTGGAACTAAAAAGAGCTAATGGTTGCCTAACGCTATGAATGTACTCAACATCAATGAATTATACTCACTAAAATGGTTAATTTATGTGTATTTTACCTCAAAAAAAAGCTAATGGCACATGTATATGTCTAAATATGAATGAAACATAATAAAAATGGTGAAACAAAAAGAAAGATGAACTACAAAGAGTCTGGCTGTGTTAGGAGTTTGGCAATGATAAAGGTTTGGTGTCAACTGTAGGCAGTTTATGAAGCTTAGGGCAAAACTAAGGCTGACAGTAAACAAAAACGATGATAGAATCAGGAAAACAAGATAGGTAGGTATTGGGAAAAGAGCTACCTGCAAGGAATGACATTTTCAAATAAGCCAGACAGATCTTTCTGAGAGAACAAAAAAGGTGAAGATCAACAGAAATTAAAGGGAAACTCAGAAACCAAATGGCCTCAGCCTTCTCCGAAAAAGCGTATACCTTTAAAAGTTTGCAAAGTGACATTTCCAAAGGTACTGCACCTTTCCCGGGCTAGCACTGCTCTTCACAAAACCGTATCTGCTTGTGAACTCACCCTGCAGAACTCCCCTGGTTCCTGTCCACAGCTCTTCTGCTCCTTCCATCCCTGAGCGGATACTGGGTGTGCATGATTCGTACCCTGCTTACGGGAAAAATACATAAAGGCGACTGCAAGACATGAAAATCATGGCCTTGAATCGGGAACCAACCCTTCGGACTTCAGTGTTTCTCAAGACGGTAAAGTCTCACTTTATAAACAGCAAAATAATCATGCAAAATTTAAAATAAATGCAATAAAACTATTTTAAAAGCAACAAAAACCCAAGCATATTCTGTGTACCCTCAAATGCCTGGGGATCTCTAAGACCTGAACACCATGTCCAACCTTATACACATTTAAAGTCTTAAGGTTTTTAGTCCCTAAAGAAAATAAAGTCATTTATTGACACAGATTTTCATTTTCATGGAGCATCCTCTAGACAGTAAAGCCCCTGAGGCCAGGGACTATATTTGTCTATATCTGCTTGTTTATTACAGTATTCCCATTGACAGCAAAGATACTTAAGAAACTTTCATTTCATAAAGGGCTCAGTAAAGAAACAATGCCAGCCTTACCTACTGCAATGAGATTCTCATAGTTCTCCAACATCACGTCTCTGTAGATATTTCTCTGTGTTTGATCCAACAAAGTCCACTCCTCCTGGGTGAAGTCCACGGCCACATCCTTGAAGGTCACTAAGTGCTAAACCATCAAACACACGCTGGCTTCAGCTTAAGTACCAACTTCGCTGATGTTCTCAAAAAGATGCATGAGGGACTGAGAAAGGCGGACAGAAGCCTCCAGTCCTCCTGGGCCCAGATCTCTTCTCCTCTCTAGCTTTAGATACTCCCTGGTGACCACAGACAGTTACATGGATTTACCAGCATCACTGACATGGACTGAACTTATCTTACCATAACTTAATCATGGGCTGCAGTTAGCACTGAACACAATGCAGCACTTTGTAAAATCTAATAACAAAAGAATTATTTCCAGTGACACAGGAATTCCGTAAGATTAGGTACCTTCCATGAGATCTGTCATACTGAGTAAAACAATTAGCCAACACGCATAACTGAGGATCAGAAAGAATTAGTAAAGATCGAGATAAAAAATTCACTTCCAGTGTAATCCCTGTATACAGCTGTATATTGAGATAGCATGAGTCCTGGAGAAATTCACCGGGACTCATTCCCTAAGCAGGGTCCTAATAGCTTTAAGAAGCTTGGGGACATGGGTCCTAATAGAAACAAGCATGACATTTTGAAGAAAGGTCAACTTTCTACTCGCCTGAGAAGAATCCATCAGTAACCCAGACACCATCCTTGCCTCCTCGATTTTCCTCTCGTCAAGACAGAAAGGTCCCAAGAAAGAGGACCTCAGAGAGAAGAATAATATGGACTTTAAAGCCAATTCGATTCCAACAATCACATGCCTATAAGCTGTTCCACACCATGCATGTAACACACCACAAACACACTACTTCCATAATATGACAAAGTGCCTTGAGTTACCTGGAGCATGAAAATGGTTTTCAGGATTTTGCTACCCATGAGGAAGAGGTTAAAAAGTCCATCTTAGAGTTACACAAATTAAAGTAGAGAGGTAGAGCTGTTTGACACATGATAAGATTCACAAACATTTCATTCCACGCAAAAGCACACACACACCCTCTCGCATCCCAAATCCCAGGAACCTGACTTATATACACTCTGACCATTTCAATCCCACTTACATGGCCCACTGCATGATGGCTCAACCTCCGAGCACTGGAACTGCCATGTGTGAAGGAACTATCTAAAGCAGATGATTCGAGAAGAATCAAAAAGGACTCACCATACACATGAGTCAGATCAATGGCTGGCATACTGTGAATCTGACAGTGAGACTTCCCAGAGCATTCCACATTTTGGTCAGCAGATCGCTTCAGAGAAGCTTTTGAATTTAAATTGAGAGGTTGATCTTGACTTCTCTTCATATACTAGAGTGTCCAGGTAACTGGTTCGCAGTGTCAATCATTAAACAACAGACATTTTTCCTCAACTTTAAAACATCACTCTTTAGTCATCTCTCTGCAGATAAAACATGGGACAGCCATTAAAAACTGTCTAATACTATGTACCACGCAAATATTAACGACAATTGCCATTTATTGAGCACCTGCTAAGTAGTTCTACATATATAAATTCCTTTAGTTGTCCTAACAACTCTCCAAATTGGGTGTTAATATTGTCATTTAATAACTGAGAAAACTAAGGTTCACACAGGATTAGTTACTGACCCAAAATCACCAGTTAGGAAGCTTGAGCCAGGAGTACACACAGTCTTGTGTGTCAAGAGCCTGATCGCCTGTGGTTGTCGATACTCCCGACATGACCAGAATTCAGTCCCGACCCTCTGCGAGACATAATGGAGAAGAGAAGTACAAAAGGTTTTATGAAATCAGAATTCTCCCTAAGTACTCCCTGCTGGAGCTTGGTTGGGCTTGGAACCTTTGCCTCCCTCAGTCTCATTTCTTCATTCAATCAGCAAATATTTACTAAGGGACCTCCTTTGCCAGGCCAATCACTAGGCACTGAAGAGGGAATAGTTCTTAGGAATCTCACAGTTCAAGTGGGCAATGCACATAATAAATAATTGATATCAGTTGATGAGCAGTATAAAGAATCAATCCCATTAAAGTATGAATACCACACATACACAAATATAATCTTGATACACAGACAAGACTGGTTATTTCCCTATAAAAATAGGGAAATAGGGCTGGCCGAGTGGCGC